GACGCTCCTAAGCTTCATCATCAGTAAATAATATGTTACAGGACGTTCTACGATAAGAAAAGACAAAAAGCCTTGTCAGGAAAAACATTCAAACATTGAAAGTCAAAGTAGACTCACCTGATGTTCTGGGGGGGAAAAAAAGGGTTGACATGTTGAAAACCAAAAGTTTAATAATTACATATTATGAAGAATTACAATGAAGGGACCGCAATTAGATGTTGATCACCTTTGTCACGAAATGAGAATGAACATGGTTCGAAACAGTTGAGAATTTTTGTTCGAAAATCAAGTCCTAACTTGCTTCGTTTTCCAGTTATACAGGGTGTTGAAGTTAATAATAGAAGTCATCATAAGTGCAAGCGAATCACTATGTAAGTAACAAAGTAACATTAGTAATGTGGATAATTATGCATTATTAGTGTCATTCAGCTTATACTAAGTAATTCCATTTGTGGATTGGCGCCGTTAAAATTGGGCGATAACATGGATGTGTTTCACTCTGAATATAGGTGGCAATATAATTGTTCAAAATTTTATACATAACAAAATCAAATTGTGCACGAAAAAGTTTCTTTTACCTAAAAGGTAATAGGACACACTATTTTCAAGAAATATTAGACTCCGCGAATATCAATGTGGGTGCACTCAAGCGTACTCAAGTCATTCATGAAGATTACTATATTATGCCGTATTATTCTCGATGGTTAGGAAATATACATATATATATGATTTTAAAGTTTTGTGAATTCTGAATTTCGTCATTATAAAAGGTTATACGCCGGGCTATATAGAATATCAATTCATATTTCCAACTTCAACAACCCTGTGTCTTGAAAGTCAAGCAGATGTTCACAAGAACTTTTTCTCATCATTCTGAGGGAGCTAGAAATTTTTTATATATCTACTATGGAACACCTTGTATTTGTGGAAAACTGCAGTTATATCAACATATTTGCTTTGTAGTTTGTAAACGGAAACCTACCTCGTTTATCGGAAAGGCCACGGAGTTCAACTCGATTTCCCAAATCTCTCTATAAATCCCAGTCGTTTACGTTTTTTGGAGCATGCAGTTTCAGGAGCTGTAAGGGATCCATAAACTCCCTATATTAGTGTTGTTAGGAAAGACTGCTCGTTACGTCCACCTTTATGACCTCTTTAGGACATCACGATTTGGGGCGACATTTAGTAAACTTCATAATGACTCGGATAATTCGCGGTCGCAAAGGTCATTTGATGACGTTGCGATGACATTATAAAAACTACGGCAAAACATCTAACATTAGGATGTTTTCCCGAAGTTTTGAATGTCATCGCAACGTCATGTAAAATGCATTCAGGTAATAATGTATTAGCAATTATATGAAGTTATATCAGATTCAATATATTGAAATCATCGGAATCGCTAATATCACTCTCTACTATTATTGTTTCTCGACATTTAGACGAAGAAATGTTTGTCGATATAGAAACTATGTATTCTTTGTAAAAATACAACAGGAAAAATATGATTTTGTAACAGATATCTTGGCATCTCAGATCACTTTTTTTATTGCTATTTCAGAAAGGCCTTCCAGTTGTTTCATCAATAGAAGCTTGCACATTCACAACTAATACCATTGAGAACAATATCTGAAGTTACTGTAGTAGAAGTATCATACAATTTTTTATGAATTCATCAAACTGTTCTCAACAATAAAGGGAGTTGGTGAAAGTGACAACTCATTTTCAACAGTGTAGCGGAGGGAGACAAAAACTCGTGAGCTACAATCTAACTATTAGAGAGTTGAAGTAATCACTGTACGTAGACCTCCACGTAGACGTTAAGGTACGAAAAATAACGTTTACGTATTGTCGTTAAATTGAGTTGAAGTCGTCACTGTCATCATAACGTAATAATACATTTTGTTTTCGGTTTGTATTGGTCAATTTTGGTTGTGTGTTTAGATTCGAACATTTATTCCTGTCAAAATGAGAGGACTCCTTGATGCAGAACTCGTTTGGATCCCAAATTTGATAATTTTGACTCATCGGCATATTTCGAGTATAGTTTGGTTAACGAACGTTGATATTTAAGGTATACGTGAAGGTACGTGAGATAACGTACACCCGTAAGCCCACTAACAACGCAAACGTGAAGAATTGGAAAATGCGCATGCGTAGCTGTCAATTTCTACGTTTACGTTAACGTTCATGACAACACTTCAACTCTCTATTATCCCGTGTACACTGTAGAAAAATCCTTCTAGTGAATGCATATGTGGTTGTGAGTGGATTTACTAATTGAAATTTTCGAATTAATTGTCCACTTAAACTATAGATATTTCATCAAGTTTTCCTATCAGTGAGAATGTTTATATAACAAATTTGATTGAATCGGCTCATGAATTATCATTTCACACAGTCAAGTAGGGTGGGCTTTCAACTCAATCGGGGGTGGACCAAAATTGACAAATTATTGCTTGGACCTTGAGTGAAATTTCACTCAATGTTTTTGTGTATAATGCACTATTTTGTTCGAGGGGGTTGCCACAACTGATTTTAACGAACGAATTATTGCCATTTCCCAGTATTTCCAAATATTGCCCAATTTCCTGGCATTTTCTCATATTTCCAATTATTGCCCCGCATTTCCCGGCATTGCCCCGCATTTCCCGTTATTTTCCTGCATTTCCCAGTATTGCCTCGAACTTCCAGAAATGTCCTCGTATTGCCTCGCATTTCCCGTATTTTCTAGAATTTCCTCGTATTGCCCCGCACTTCTCAGTATTGCCCCGTATTTCCCGGTAGTGCCTCGTATTTCCAGAAATTTCTCCGTATTGCCTCGTATTTCCCAAATTACCTTGTATTGCCCCGTATTTCCCAGTATCGCCTTGTATTTCCCTGCATTTCCCTGTATTGCCTTAATTTCCTGACATTTTTCATTGGTTACATAATCGTTTTTATATTGTCAGGCATTCTCTAATATTTCACTACAATAATATTGTTTTACGACAGTATATGAAAAAAATATACAATCGAAAAAAATATGTATTCTTATAAATATTCAACAAAAAAAAAACATAATATGAATCACAGTAGGAAAATATCACCACAGTTTGAGTGGAGAACCTATGAATGACTTAACAAAAAAACTAGAAAAATATCTATTCCTAATGACTATAATCACTGGAATGAATATCAACAAAGAAAACAAAACATGGGTCATTCAATAAAAAATATATCAAATTCCAAACTAAAATTGACTACACCCCTTCCTTTTTCAAATCTTTAAATATATTTTTAATATTATTTCGATCATATCTTGTGATCTGTAGTGGGTCACAGCCAAGCATATTTATTGGTCCATAAAATATTTGTTCTTTGTGGACACAATCTACGTCGTCTGATTTAGGCCAGTAAAAATTATTCAGGTCTTCTTTCAGAAATTTGAGAGTACACATTTCATTTTCTTTGTATTCTAAAACTCTGCCAATATACCATCTCTGTTCATAAAACACACTATAGTACTTTTCAACATCAATGCGTCAAGCCATCGTCTAGCGCTAGGGTCTCGTCTAGCGTCCACCCGGTTGTGAAAGCCTGATGCATGTCATGAGTAGTGTATAGAGTCGATATTTCAATTATGTCTTTTCTACATGTCGATGCGATTGTATATTAACTCTATAAAAAACTAATTACGTAGATTGTTTTTCAAATTTAATGCCGACTGTCTCAATTTTTCAACCGCTTTGAGCTTTCCTAAATATTGCCCGGCATTTCCAGATATTTCCTTGCATTTCCCGTATTTCCTGGCATTGCCTCGTATTTCCCAACATTTCCCGCATTACCCCACATTGCCAAATATTTCCCCGAATTTCCCAGTATTGCCCCGCATTTCCCGGTATTGCCTCGTATTTCCCAGTATTGCCTCGTATTTCCCGTATTTCCAGTATTTCCGGTATTTATTTTTATTGCCCCGCATTTCCCAGTATTGCCCCGTATTTCCCTGTATTGCCTCGCATTTCCAGACATTTCCTCGTATTGCCTCATATTTCCCACATTTCCTAAAATTTCCTCGCATTGCCCCGTATTTCCTCTCAAGTGTACGAGAATTTCCCCAGTGGCAACCCCCTCGATTTTGTTCTGCGTGACAAAAAGAAGGACGAATCAATTATTGAGAAGATATTACATTACATTAAAATCAGAAAATTATTATCGACGTTACAGGCATCTTTATCATTATTTTGAAGTAATCAAATATCTGTCAGTCTAATTCTATAATTTGATTTTGAAAAATCAAGTGGTCGTTTAGAAATTTACGTAACCGCGAAGTCGATTGGAAGATGAAAGGACTTGCAGTTATTTCTCGGAGACCGTGGTATTGTCTATTTTTCAAAACTATAGTACAACAAAAGCCATCAACAGTTTTTATATATATGTGATATATATCCGGGAAAAAAGTACTCACTTTTCCCCGTGGGAAAAAAGTAATTTATGAAAAGTTTCAGTCGGAATTCCACACCACCCTGTATTTGTTTCAATTAAATACGAGTAAATAGTAAATCAAAAGTTAAGATATAGACATGTAAGCCGTTTTGACCAATAATGAATAGTTTTGACACAAAAAATTCCCAAAAATGAAAAATCTCGATTTTCCACACCCTATATCTCGGAAATCATTCCCGCTAGACCCCAAGTGTGCTATGTCGTTTAATTCAGCTCTTCAAGGAGAATATGAAAATGCAATGAAATACAGGGTGTTCCATTTGAAAAAATTGATGTTCGATTTTGTGAGCCTTCCTTGCGCCCCTCGTATTAAATATAGTAATTCCTGAAGTTAGCACTCATAATGCGATATGATGTGGAATTATAATATTTCGAAGATTCCAATTGGTTCAGAAGATATTCAACTGTCCCACTGGTCTAGGGACACCCTGTATATGGGTACATTCATCTTAGTACATACATATTATGCTCCAAGAGTGTGATTGTCGTTTTATAAGGAAGGAAATGCCACATACCTTCATCCTCCTTGTCCATACTCTTTTCGATGGTCTCAACTACCGGGGCGAAGGTGAAGCCCAGTTCGTCCTGTACTTCAACGTCGAATGGCCCGTCATTGAGGGGCATAGTGAGATCTGCCTCGATTGTCACATTGTTGCAGGACCCCTCACAGTCGATGCACAAATTTGTGCAATCGAGGCCTGCTTTTTTGCAACTACATTTCTTTGCCCACGTCTTGATGCATCTACATGAGACCAGACGCAGTAGTTCGAGAGGAGCGGAGGCTTGTAGAGAATTGATCGGTTCCAGGCCATTTGTTGCTCGTTTCCAACCCCAATCTTCGGCATTCTTCTCAACTCCTAGCCATTGCTGCACTTGGAGATATACCCTAAAACTGTGCTGTGTGGCTGCAGCAGCTGATGGTGGTAGTGCAGCTATTTTTGATGAAGTCTTGAAAGCTGCCTTCGCATAATTGATATACCTCAGACGGTTTATCGACGGCTCAGTCCTTCCTGTGAAGCCGTACAGGTTGACCAGGAATCTCTCCCCTGCTGTTGCAATGCTTTCTGGAGTTGCCTCAGGGTTTTTGAACACACTCACAACATCAGCAAGGTTGGGGTTTTTGGTGACAGTTTTCACGAACTTTCCTTGGTTGCAAGGTGCTGAAGTTGTATCACAACCACTCATTGCATAAAGAAACATGATGTATTCTCTTATGGTTTTGTTTGTCAGAGCATGCATAGGAGAGTAGGTGGTTGGAGGAACATTTCCCTTCCCTAGTTTCAGGAAGAATACGTTATCTCGTAGACAAAGACCCGTAAGGATGACCAACAGGTCGATGTCCTCTCCAACAACCACCACCTCAGTCTCAGTACGTTCAGCCAAAGACAGGGCTTCGTTGACAGGTCGACCAACAGGTCGATGTCCTCTTCAACAACCACCACCTCAGTCTCAGTACGTTCAGCCAAAGACAGGGCTTCGTTGACAGGTCAACCAACAGGTCGATGTCCTCTCCAACAACCACCACCTCAGTCTAAGTACGTTCAGCCAAAGACAGGGCTTCGTTGACAGGTCGACCAACAGGTCGATGTCCTCTTCAACAACCACCACCTCAGTCTCAGTACGTTCAGCCAAAGACAGGGCTTCGTTGACAGGTCAACCAACAGGTCGATGTCCTCTCCAACAACCACCACCTCAGTCTCAGTACGTTCAGCCAAAGACAAGGCTTCGTTGACAGGTCGACCAACAGGTCGATGTCCTCTCTAACAACCACCACCTCAGTCTCAGTACGTTCAGCCAAAGACAGGGCTTCGTTGACAATGACGGTATCGGCATCTTCTGTGGCCTGTCTCAATTGAGAATGTAACTTTCCTATGATCATGGAAATCAATCTTCTTTTGTCGGTCGTATTGGATACGAATTTTTCTTTCTTTATGGTCGGTATCCTGTTCTCATCGAAGAGAATCTCTGCGGAAATCGATTTCATAGACCTCTTCAACCGTTCAGCACTTTTTGTTCCACCTTCCGAACCTTCTGGATATCCATCGAATACAACTACTGTTTGTGTGTAACGATGTAGTCAACATACCTGTTACATATTGCAGAAAAGGATTGCTTCTCGGGCCAAAAAACTTTGTGTAGTAAGAATCCACCGTCGATGACATATTGCACTTTTCCGCAGAACGACTCATTTTTTATGAGTTCGACTGTTTTCTTCCCTTTCTTATTATTTCTAAATAGGGAGAAGGAGTACGGACCCAGATCGTAGGACAAGAAAAATTTAGAACTTTAGATCATTATACATACAAAACACGAGTTCATTGAATCATTTATGACCAACAGTATCTGTGAATTTCACTAGATATGAGAATATGGCCTTTTTTGGCGCTCTCTAGCGGCAGAACAATTAGTCTTACAAAAAAATGTTATGTATGAAAAAATCAGGAAATTTTATCTCCTTTCATTTTATACAGAATGATCTTGTCGAAAAAATGCTTCCTTTCTGAGATATAGGCCAAAAACTGAAAAAAGTGTCAAATTTTTGGCAAAAAGTGCCAAAAAAACAAAGTTCCGGGCCAAAATTTTGCCAGCAAACTTCAAATTCATGATCAGCAACCCAAAAAACATGGGTATAGAGAAAATCAAAACTATAGCAAAACTTTCCTCTGAACCCCCTTTATTTTCCTAATATGCTCAGCCTACAATGAAGAGGTAATTTTTGATACGAGAGAAGCAATTATTTTTCACCTCAGTTTACACAATTCACTATTCTACTAAAATGTAAATAAATTTTCCAATCTAAATACATATAATATGCACCTCGCACTGAATTTCATTCTTTCAATGGGATTAATTTAATCCATGCACATTTGAAATCGCGGTTAATTCGATTTTTTTGCCATTATGATTTGATGTCTCGATTTCAATATATACAGTGAATCGCGAGGTGAATTGTTTATATTATAATATCTGATTCTGGAAGTAGGCCTGAAAATTGTATATCTAGATCAAAAATGAAAATATGAACATGATATACTACATGGCTAAGACGTTGAAATAATCAATGTTATTAACAGACGAAATGTGGCTTTCATAGAAAAAATAATGTTGAAGTTGATAATGAATTACTACGTATACTATTCCCGTGTACACACGAAATTCGCAGGTTCATCAGCCGCTCTTTCACCGAAAAATATTCCAGATTCCTATGATTATTTTTATAACGTCCAATTTGTTTTCAATCATCTCCCCTTTTTCAACATCATGATCAATAAGCGCGATACGACCGATACGATAGCAAACTGAAAATAAACATCAATCAAATTCTCTTGACGCAATGTATAGCCGGCGATATAATGGAAAATCAAACACAAATCCAGCTAGCTTTCAACAAAATAAAAAGACACTACATTGTGTTCGGCAAAAAAAGTGTTTTTAAATGCTTGAAAGTACTTCAGCTTCAGGGAACGAATTGATTTTTCATAAAAACAAACATCAACACGAATATTATACCTCCACCTCGGCCATCAGATATTTTGTGCCTATGGTCATAGGTACATTTTGCGGGAGCAATTTGGTTTGAAATGAAACTCATGAAACTGAAAATGATGTGTAAATAATTAGAAATGTTCGATGTTTCATATAGGTTTAATCGGTCGTGGGTTTTTCAGGTGAAGGATTTCAGAATATGTTGTCGACAATAAATTAATCCTCAAATTCCGCTTTTGATAAATGTTCCAATTAACTGAATTATACTGGGTAGCCCCACTACCAACGGTAAGGGTGTACCCGGAATATCTGAATAACCACCAAAATATTCTTTTATGAAGAACATCGCGATAAGTGAATTTGGTTGTCAAGTGGGGCACATCAATTTTTCTATTGACTATTCCACTCTTGTGCTCGAGAACCAATCAGAATCGACCATTATCAAGGTTTCTCCTGTATATAACAGTGATTTATATATTTTTAAATTATCGGACTTGATATACCAATACAGAAGCCGAATTGACCCACGTGACCAACCAACCTCGAGTGATTTAATTCGTGAATTAATTCGAATGCCTCTTTTTAAGGCATGAATTAATGAAGAGACAGTGGCCACGATTAGGTGCGTCATTTATTTTGATTAATTTCTTCAAATAGCTTGAAAAAAAAATTAGAGGGGTTTTAGGAAATTTCGTTTTTTGTTCGTATATCTTCGAGAGTTTCCCGAATTTTCCAAGTTTAGAAACGGTATTTTGTTAGACATGAAATTGAGGCTCGAATTCCAGTCACCGTACTTTTTGAAGAAAATAAAAATAAATAGTTTTTTGCGTTTTATGTACATACATTACCTATTTTGTTTAGGTAAATGAGATTTGTTTTTTTTTTCAAAGTGAAATTTATTTTAAAAAGTCAGAATTAATTCAAATAGTCAGTCTTTTTTGACGTTTTCCTTTTCTATATAAAAGTCATGACTTTTTCCAACCCTTGTTATAATCATTAGTATTCGATTTTGACGGCACGGATTTATTTTCATTAATTGTCTGAGTCAATCATGAAATAGTCAAACGAATACAACTTTCGGTACAACGGTTCATTCATTCAAAAAATCTGTAACCCAAAGATCATTTATGTATTTTGGTCCAAAATTCTTCAATCTTATACCAGCTGACCTTAGAGATATAAAAAACCACAAGATCTTCAAAAAGTTAGTAAAAAAATTCATAATAGAAAACCATGAAAAATTTGATTAGATTCAAAGCCAGAGAAAGGAATAGTTAATCTATTGACTCCATGATGTATCTAAAACGCATAAACTGATTGCCAAACCACTGTGGTTCCGTCGGTTCTTCCTCATTGCTACAATGAACCTTCATATTATTTAATATTTGTATCATACGCTCACCCTTACTACACACGTAATTGCAAATTCGAAAGCATATATTATGTAAAGGGTTGGAAAAGCAATACAGGCATATTTGCCTAGGCAAATTCCGACCCTGAACCAGATGCTGCTATAAACCAGCAATCGAAATAACATGTATTTTGTAAATTTTGTAACATGAATTTTTGTATAACTTGTAAATTTTGTAACTAGAATGGCAATAAAAATTGAATTGAATTCAATTGAATAAAAAAAAACTCGTGGTAATACTAATTTTCATGGAAATATCCGTCGATTGGTATACTCCATTCGCCAAAGATGATTAGTCATCAAGCTGTCGTAATAATTGACTGGATTGGCCATAGTACCGTTTGCTTCTGATTGGTAGTTTGTATGATCGAATATATGAAAAACATTTTAACTTATTTGGTAATTATAGTAATTCAAATCATTCAGTACAAAAACGTATAATATGTAGATGATGAAGGATACTCGTGATTATTCAAAATGGGTTTCTAATGGAAATTAAATTAGGCATGATAATTGATGTTGTGCATAGCAAATTACCTATACTCAGTAAACTCAACAAGTTAATCAAATAGGTAGTATCGTTGATTGTGTAGAAATAACATTCTAATGATGATTTTCCACGTTTTTTATGTTGGTTATCGCTGCTAAGTTCCAGAAATAACTCGAAGAAATATAATGAAAAATCTGAGTGTTTTCTATTTAGTTACAATGATGCGAGTCATAGAATTGTGTTTGTTATATAATAAATAGGTACACACACCCTTTTTATTTCCATAAAAAGCCACCAGCACGGTCCAGATTTAAGTTCGCATCTGAAACAATAAATTCAACAAAATCTGTTCGAATCGGTTGACTATAAGAAAGATGAAGATTGTGGTCATTTCAACTAAGACCCATTTGCATTTCAGAAATTGTCATTTGAATTTCAATTGATATTTTCTGCAATACAATTGACACTTTCTGAAATCCAGTGGACTACTCTGAATACAATTGACGGCGCTTTCTGAAATTGAATTGACTATTCTGAAATATAATTGACGCATCCTGAAATACAAAGTGACTATTCTGATATACAATTGACGCTTGAAATTCAATTGACTATTCAGAACTACAATGGATGCTTTCTGAAATACAATTGGAAAAAGGGGAGATATTCAACGGTATATAATAACTACATTGATTTATATTTATAGCCTGTTGTTTTTTTTATTTGAAGAGATAAAAATTTGAAATTCACAAGGGTTATATAATCGATTATGGCGCTTATGCGCTTATGCGCCTTAAAATTCTTTAATCAACTATCTATCCTAATTTGATATCCATAAATTGGCTGTTAAATTGCATTTTTTTGAAAAACATGAAGATGGCTGTGGCCCGAATACAATGACATTTCGATGCTTGATAGGCTTAGACGATACATCAATTATTATAACAACTTCAATTTCATGTATCCAAATGGATGATCATATTATGGCTACATGGCAAAAAAATACAAATAGTATCTTCACAAGTAGCCAAATGAAAAAAACTGAGTTTATCTTATATAGTTTTCTCAATATTGTGAGTTATTTTCGGTCGATTTTTTAAACTTAATGAAATTATTGGATTATCTTCTGAGACCGATTAGGGTATGGAAAATATCCTGATAATATTGTCTAAGCAATGATCTTTGGATTTCTTAGCCTATCAAGCATCGAAATATCATTGCATTCGGTCCACAGCCAACTTCATATATTTTAATAAAATTGAATTCAACAGCCAATTAATGAACTAATATCAAATTGTGATACATAGTTGAATAGAGAATTTCAAGGCAAATAAGATAGGCTACAGAAATATACAGGGTGCCATATGAAAAAAAAAAGTTGGGTCTACTTCCGATCAAACAGTTGGTTGAAGAAAATTGTCATTGGGTTCATGGGAAGAGCCATCATCGATAATATAGTCCTTGTGAATTTCAAATTTGTATCTCTTCAATTGAAAAAACTACAGGCTGTTACCAAAGGTTACATGTCTCCTGTGTTACCCAGTATGTATATCATTTTGTCTATGCATACACAGATCCACTGTATTTATCCAACAATCCTAAATCACCTCACCTATCTTCCCTTTCAGTTTCACTCCGAAGCATTCTGCAGATATAATACAAAAACCTCAGAAAAACGTCAAATTTATATAGGTACTTTAAAAGTAGTAGAAAAACGTCAATTACAACGGTCCAAAGCAGAATAACACATGTCATTAAACCTGAAAGCACGCGCCCGTCCCAAGAACGATAACATCGAGAAATGG